ACAATGAAGTTTACACTCAAGAATGTGCGGCTGAACTCCCCCGAGACTCCCGGGAGGGGGGAGGTTAGAGTGTGTGTGTGTGTGTGTGTGTGTGTGTAAAGCACATTGTGTAAGGCTCAGCTATGCAGATTACAGTGTGTGTGTGTGTGTGTGCGTGCTTATACATCTATCTTTGTGAGGACTGAACCTTTAAAGGACCGCTGACCGTTTGTACATAAATAAATATATAAATATAGTTATTACATATAGCAGACAGAGCTTCTGGTCTGTGAAGTCAACGCGGAAGTGTCTTAAAGCTGCTTTCTGTGTAAAGGCCAGCAGGGGGCACTCCATCGGCTGCAATAAAAGATGTCTGATAGTATTGAGTCTTATGGAGTGCAATGCTAAGGGTCAGCCTCCTTATTGTTGTTTGCATTCAGTTCATCCTGAGAATATTTACGTCCTTTTTAGTTTGGTAAGGGGATGTGGCGTCGCAGTGGCGCCGACACACAACCTCTGGTGCACGGTGGTGAAATGTAACTAAGTACAAATTCCAGGTACTTGAATATTTCCACTTTATGCACTTTTATACTTGTACTCCATTACTTTTGTCGGACAACTTTAGTTACTTTACCTTCCTGTCTAGTGGAAACCTTTTATCTCCAGATGTGTTGATGTTGAATGTTTAAGAAGAGTTCCTTTATGTGTTAAAATAAAATGTAAAACAGCTTAAAAAACTTCTTATATTATCAGGAAAATGCACAAAGCTGAAAACATGATCTTATAGAACATGATGCTTTGCTGTGGATCAGTACTTTTACCTTGTTCAGGGTGGCCCCAGAAGAAGAAATGAAGGATGTGGAGGTTTTGAACTTGCAGATACACAAAGGCCACTTAGTGTAAGTCTGTTGTACATACACACCTTCTGTTTAACTTGTTGGAGGCTCACACAGCACACGCACAGCAGCAGTCACATGAATTCAATAGTTCCGCTGCCACCTAGTGGTAAAATGTAAAATGACTGCTGCACTGACCTCTGCAGGGTTCATTACCTCAGTCTGTCACACATTGCAGGAACATGCAGAAACCACTAGATGGCAGAACAAACAAACAGTGGAAACATAAGGAACGGTCACTGGGGGTTGTGGTCAGAAACTGGTTCTCTGATGTGAGCAGTTCTCTGGATAAAGCTGGAATCAATCTATGATCCAGATTTAAAGACATTTTACTCAGCCAGTTAATACAGATATCACAATGTGTAAATGTTAAACCTGTTAATGTGTTTTCTGCCCTGTTGAACATTTTTTGTTGTTTCTCTGGAACAAAGTCAGTCCTTGTGTTTGTTATTTCTAACTTGGATATAGGAGAAGTAATAACCTCTGTTTTCTGGACAGTAAGCTCTGAAGAGAAGGCAGAAACACTTATCTATGTGGATTTCTTGTTTCGAGAACAAAAGGCTGAATAAATAACACAAAAAATATAATCGTTATTATTTTACTGTAGATGAAAAACAAATAGATATAAATATAATGGTTTGGACACACTTTTTAAAATTATTATTTTAATAAATAAAAAGCATTGTCAGGTCACCCCTACCTAAAATAAGCTCTAGACCAGGACCTGACCCGACCAACCCCCCCCGACCTCTGAGGCCAGTTAGATTCAAGTATTTTAGAAGCACATTATGTGATTAATAGAGAATACAAACTTCTTTAACGTTTCACTGAGTTTGATGGTTGTTAGATTATATAGGATTATATAGGAGGAACTATTCTCCGCACCCATCGAAATTTAAAAATCACTCTTCTAATCTGAGGCAGATTCAGGCCGTAAACTAGAGGATTACTGATGGGGGTAATGATCAGAAACTCCAGAGACAAAACAACAATGACAAATGTCCATCAGAAACCTGGGGAAGAAGCCAGCTGAGCCGTACAGAGAGTTTAAAGACAGAAAGGAAATAAAGATGTACATGGGCTGATGCAGAGACTTCTCCTGGCAGACTGTCAGAATAATGACAACGTTAGCAGAGATTATAGTCATGTAGACCAACAGACACAGACTGAAGAACAGATATCTGAGGGACCCATAATCTGCAAACAGAGTCAACTGGAAATAGACAGGATTTAGGCTGTTGTTGCTCTTCATGTCTGCACAACAGAAACAAAAAGAGAGACGGACACACAGAACAAGAAACAATACACAGTATAATTAAATGATAGGAAAGTAAAAATGAAATGAGAATCAAGGTATCCTTTCGCTTTGCATGCATGTTAATCTGCTTATTCAATGAGAACTTCGACAGCGTCCACCCTGTAATGATCCAGACTGAAGCAGCTGAGGAAACTTTATCTGATTCTGCTGCTAGGATGCGAGCAGTGTGTACAGGTAGTGTCCAAAGGGAAATAAAGCCACTCACAACCTGACTTCATTTGTACAGAAGCACTTAACAGTGATGGATCCCAATGTTTTTTTAAATACTTATCTCAGATCATGAGTTAACTATTGCGTTATCTCTGGTTTTATTTCTCATAATAGCGGGTTTATTTATGTCATTATCTTGACGAAAGAACAGGCAGATCTCTCAAGAGAATAAGATAAAGCACACTTTATGAATCATAAGAGTGGACTGTGATTTGCACTCACTGCTCTGTATGGTGGGTGTGGGAATTTAAAACCCATCAGAACCTTTGTCTGGACCTCAGGCACACAGGGTGGAGTCCAGGCAGTTGGGTGGAGCAGGTCTGATAGGCGAAAAGGAGACAAGGAAGAATGGTGGAGCAGCTCTGGATAAGGCTGTGGATGCTGGCGACATAGGGGAAGCACCTCTGCAAGACGGGCAGGAGGTTGACCAGACTGGTGGAACTGCTTGTGAGGCTGGCGATAAAGGCAGAACCCCTCTGGTGGCTGGCGACGGGGCTCGAGGTGATGAAAGGCACCAGAAAATTCAGCTGCAGGTCAACAAAACCTGCTGGATATATTTCTGGCGTCCGGTGAACAGGAAAAGAAGCTGGTGGCCAGGTTGAAAGACTGGAAACTACTGACAGGAACTGGAGACTGCCGCAGCTTGGGAAATCGGGTCTGCCACAGAACAGGAACTGAAGCCTGTCGCGTCTCATGAGATGGCTGCAATTAAGCAGGAACAGGAGATTTCTGCCGTTCAACAGGTGTCAGCCAGATGGTTGATGGGGAAGCAGGAACAAGTGTTGGCTTAGTAGCGATGGGCAGTGATGAGGGCGAAGTCCTGTGTAGCTGAGGCAGCCAGAGACATCAGGAGCCATGACAACCTTTTTTCCTTCTGTGGTCTCCATGGGATCCTGTGAAAATGGCCAAGTGAATGTCTTCAAAAGGTGACTGCTGGATGTCAAGGTGACTCCTCAACAGTTCAATAAAGGCTCAGAGGACTCAGGAAAAGGTGGCTGGCTAGCCAACTCAGGACACACAGGGTCAAGACAGGCAGGTAGCAGCCTAGCAGGCTAGTACTCTGGACTAGGGACCCTAATCCAACAACCTTGTATACACAGAAGGTGTAGAACAAACCCACCATCTGCTGGATCCATGGCGAGCCAGTTCGTACTGTCACACTTGTCAAACAAGACTATAGATACTGGATCCAAATGCAAAATCTGAGTTAGAACTGACAAGTGCAACGATTTAACCGCAAATTGTCAACACAAAAATACTCAAAGGATGAGTTGGGCAGGACCAAGAGAAAACCACACAGCAGTCACTTCAGAAACAGTTCAGAAACCTGCCATTCAACCGGCCCTGATTCCTTTCTCTTTCCCTCTTTCGTCACGCTACTGAGATTCATTAAGGGGTGGTTCACCACTTTGGTCCAGATTTAAATATCTCTCCTGGATGGATTTCCATGAGATTTTGTACGGACATTCATGGTCACCAGAGAAAATGTAGTGCTGACTTCGATGCTTGACTTTTAGGACATTTGGAATTTAGTGAAATGTCTCAACTACCTTTTGATGGATTGACCTGATATTTATTGCACATATTCATGTTCCAATCAGGATGAACCATAATAACTTCTTCTTTGATTCTTATACTTTTTGTCTAGCGGCTTCATCACGTCAACATTTTTGTGTGTCCGTTACGTTAGTTTTGGAGGTAGGCCTATTTAGTCATAAATCAGTTACATTTCCATCAAACTCAGCAATGTCTTGTTAATTTATTTACTATTTGTCTTATTTATTTATAATTACAAAGGGCAACTGGTTCATACCACAACAACATATTGATGTTAATATACAGAATAAACAAAGAGCAACATATGAAGTTAGGAGTAGAAAATACAACAAACAGACATTTAACATCCACATTCCTACCATACACACCTAAAATCCTATCAAATCTAGTTGTAGGTTATCAGACCTAAGGAACCTATTAGGTCCTATTCTTATTGACCTTTAATTTGTCAGGAGAAACAGCACATAGTAGGTTTTATGGCATGGCAGGTGTGCTTTTACATTTGACTGATGTATTTCAGCCTGAGCAGCTGTGAAATGAGCCATCCATATACAACTTCGGCAATATCAATATAATTTCTTTGGATCAGGTTAATATATTTTAAGATGACACCTATTCTATTCATAGATATTCTGATCTCCTTAAAATGAATGTCATAACAAATGACATCTTAAGACAAATAACATTTAACATATTCCATCAGTATATTTTGTGATTAACATTGTTTGAAATATGTGCATGTTGAGTTTTACATTTTAGCACAAATTTTGCGAATCTTCAGAAATCTAAATATGGCTCCTTTTATTTGAGGCAGATTCAGGCCATAAACTAGAGGGTTATTAAATGGGGGAATGATCAAATACTCTAAAGATAAAACTACTGTGATGACTGGATTCTTTTCATCACCCTCAAATCGAGTCAATGAAAGCTCACAGAACAGAGAGAAAGAATAGGTCATAAATGTCACAATGTGAGGCAGGCAGGTTTGTAACGCCTTTCCTCTGAATTCAGAAGTGCTTCTCTTGCAAACCAGCAGAATGCGAAGGTAGGTGTACAGGACAAAGAACAGGGGGATGAAGATGGTTGTCATTGTAACAAACTGACCTACTATGTTGTTCAGACTTGTGTCCACACAGGAGAGCTGCACTACAGGCCAGTTAGAACAGAAAAGCCTGTGCAGTTTATTTCCACACAAAGGCAATCGGACAGTGAGATAGAGACCGATACCAATAACAAATACAGGGTAGACCACAGCAAATATGATAAGATTCCTCACCATCCTAAAGGTCATTTTACTGTGATAGTGTAAAGGCTGGCAAATAGCAACCAATCTATCATAGGCCATGATGCCGAGAAGTGTCAGCTCAAATGATACATATGTGTAAATAACATATATCTGGATGAAACAAGATGCACGTGAGATGAAATGAGTGTCAGACAGAATGTCCATCAGAAACCTGGGGAAGAAGCCGGCTGAGCCGTACAGAGAGTTTAAAGACAGAAAAGAGATAAAGATGTACATGGGCTGATGCAGAGACTTCTCCAGGCAGACTGTCAGAATAATGACAACGTTAGCAGAGATTATAGTCATGTAGACCAACAGACACAGACTGAAGAACAGATATCTGAGGGACCCATAATCTGCAAACAGAGTCAACTGGAAATAGACAGGATTTAGGCTGTTGTTGCTCTTCATGTCTGCACAACAGAAACAAAAAGAGAGACGGACACACAGAACAAGAAACAATATACAGTATAATTAAATGATAGGAAAGTAAAAATGAAATGAGAATCAAGGTATCCTTTCGTTTCCTATGCACATAAAAATGTGTTCAAAAATATATCCAAAGCTAGATGTACCACATTCAGAACCAAGGTTCAACCTAGCTAATCATAGTAATGAAAATACATGCATGTTAATCAGCTTGTTCAATGAAAGCTTCGACAGCGTCCACCCTTTAATGATCCAGACTGAAGCAGCTGTGGAAACTTTATCTGATTCTGCTGCTAGGATGCGAGCAGTGTGTACAGGTAGTGTCCAAAGGGAAATAAAGTTGAAGTTATTACAAAACATCCTCCCGCTCTGGTAGAGGAGGTCTGCCTCTCTTGTCAACTCCCTTGGGAAGAGGGCCGAGGGTGGTTGGTTGAACATTTGCGGGTTTAGGAGTGATAGATGTAGGAGGGGCTGTTGAATTGTTGCAGGCGACAGTCAGTTTGGGATGTCAATAGAATGTGGTATGTGTAAAATACATTGCTACCAAACCAGGTCAGGCCAGGTCAAGGATCAGAGACATGTAATAGTCCAGCTCTGACCTGCGGCTGGAGAAGGCTGAACAGATTATGTCATGGTACAGGGGGAATGAGAAGGTGAATTCTATTGCAGGAAGTTCTTTAGAGCGGGTAGACAGTGGCTGTTTGAGTTTGATTGGACAGAGTGCAGTTCTCTGGGAACATGAGGGTTGCATGTGCACGGATGTAATAAATGGGTGAGGTCAACATAGTTTTGAGCGAGAATCTGTTGTCTGAGAGTGGGTGACATGGGGGATGGTTGGGAGTATACGACTGGGCGCACTGGAGGTAATGCGGTGGCTAGAGTGAAGTTGTTATGCATGTGAGGATAGATGGGAAAAGCCCAGGATCTGGCTATGGGGAGAGCTGTGGAAAACAGGAATGTCTCTTGGCCACCGAAGACAAGGTCTTACCCTGGAGCTGCTGAGGGGCGAAAGCCTGATGGTGTTGGAGTTGTTTGTGGATAAAGGCTGGGAGCATCGGGGAATATGGATTGTTGAGACGAGAAGGGATGGCGGAGAGGAGGACTCTGAGATTTCGGGAGTGTGCCAGTCATCTTCATCAGGTTGTTGTCTGAAGGGTTGAGGAGGCGCTCATTCTCCATGGTTCAAGGTACTCATTTTGATTGACGCAGATTGTGTGAAAACTGAGTCAAGGACGGAGTAAAGGGATAAGGTGTGCTTAAGTACATTTTGAGCGGAAATTAGATGAGTGCAAGGGGGGCTCTTTGTTCCAGAAACTAGTTATAAAACTTCATTTATTCGTAAACTGCAAACCCTTTTATTCACTGCGGGAGTTTTCGTCTTTTATTCTGGTCGGCGTTTACATCCCACCTCAGGCCTGTGTTGGTGAGGCCTTACTACACCTGGCTGACCAGATAACAAACGGGTGGAAAAAACATCCAGACTCCCTGCTCATTGTTCCTCAGACATGACCTTAGACAGCTTATTAAGTGTCCCACCAGGGATATTAACACACTGGACCACTGCTACACCACAATGCAAGGATGCCTACCACTCTGTTCGCTTTGCTGCCTTGGGACTCTCTGATCACTGTCTGGTTCATCTTATCCCGACCTACAGGCAGAAACTTAAATCTCCGAAGCCTGTGGTCAGGACTGTGAGAAGATGGACCAACAAGTCAAAGCTGAAACTACAGGCCTGCTTTGACTGCACTGATTGCAATGTTTTTGAGGCTGCCGCTACAGATTGGGATGAACTCACCGACTCTGTGACATCATACATCAGTTTTTGTGAGGACGTGCGTGCCGACTAAGACCTTCTGCACATACAACAACCACAAACCCTGGTTTACAACAAAACTCAGACAGCTTCATAAGACCAAAGAGGAGGCCTACAGAAGTGGGGACTGAATCCTGCACAACCAGGTCAGAAACATGCTGACAAATGGGGGTCAAAGTTGTGTGAACCTGCGTCAGTGTGAAGGCCTGCAGAACATCACCAGCAACAGGAGACCCCCCCCCCAATATGGAGAACCATCAACTGGCTGATGAACTGAATGTATTTTACTGTAGATTTAGAAACCCCACATTCACACCCCTCCCCGGCTCGAAATCAAACAGCTACCTACAACCCCTGCCACCCTGCCACCCTCCCCTCTGAAATCCCCACCTGCAATTGTGAGGATCTGTTAAGAAGATGTGTGTCAGGTCTTTCAGAGACAGAAGATCAGGAATGCATCAAGACCAGATCGAGTGTCATCATCCTGCCTGAAAATCTGTGCTGACCAGCTGGCCCCCATCTTCACACAGATCTTCAACAGATCACTAGAGTCTTGTGAAGTTACTTCCTGCTTCAAACGCTCCACCATCATCCCTGTCCCCATAAAACTCTCTATCACAGGACTACATGACTACAGGCATGTCGCCCTGACATCTGTAGTCATGAAGTCCTTTGAAAGACTGGTACTGGCCCACCTGAAGGACATTACAGGCCCCTTGCTGGATGCCCTGCAGTTTGCCTACCAAGCAAACAGGTCAGTGGATGATGCAGTCAACATGGGACTGCACCAGATCCTGTAACACCTCAACTCTCCAGGGACATATGCAAGGATCCTGTTTGTGGACTTCAGCTCGGCGTTCAACATCACCATCCTAAACATCCTCAACACCAACCTCACCCAGCTCACTGTGCCAGCCTCCACCTGACAGTGGATTACAAACTTCCTGACCGGCAGACAGCAGCTAGTGAGGCTGGGAAACATCACATCCAGCACCCGAACAATTAGCACTGGTGTGTGCTCTCCCCACTGCTCTTCTCCCTCTACACCAATGACTGCACCTCGAGAGACCAGTCTGTCAAACTCCTGAAGTTCGCAGGCGACACAACAGTCATTGGCCGCATCCGAGACGGTGATGAGTCTGCATACCTCCTGTTCCAGCTCAGGAAGCTCAACCTGCCTCAGGAACTGCTGATCTAGTTCTACATCGCAATCATTCAGTCTGTTCTCTGTTCATCCATCACTGTCTGGTTTGGATCGGCCACCAAACAGGACAGAAACAAACTACAGTGGACAGTCAGGACTGCAGAGAGGATCATTGGTGCTAACCTGCCCTCCATTCAGGACCTGTACTGGTCCAGAGTCAGGAAAATGGGCAGGAAACATCCCTGCAGATCCATCTCACCCTGGACACAACCTGTTCCACCTTCTCCCCTCTGGTAGGCGCTACAGAGTACTGTACGCAAAACAAACAGACACAGGAACAGTTTCTACCCACAAATCATCACTCTGCCCAACAGTTATCTGCCCTGTACAATAACCCTAGGACTCTAATATTCACTGAACCTGTAAACTATTTATTATTTATGTTTCTTCTTTAAAACATAAAAACATAAATACTATCATTTGGATCTACTTATGCTGTACATACTGTATATACTGTCATATTCACCTAAGTCATGTACATAGAGAAACCTGCACGTAAAATATTTATTTCAGCATCCTTTCCACTGTCTACTGTCCACAAAGGTTATTGTTTGTTTATGTATGTATAACTGTGCATCTTAGTTTATGTCTGTTTTGTTGAACTTGTTGTTCTGTTTATTTATGCTGTTAGTCTGCGTTTGTACATTTAGAGCAACGTAAAAACCGGAATCAGATTCCTTGTATGTGTGCACGTACCTGGCCAATAAAAGAGATTCTGATTCAAATAGGCCATCCTTTAAAACTGATGACATTTCCATCAACCTCAGCAATGTCTTGTTTATTGTTATTATTATTATTTGTCTTCACATTCCAGGGTTATAATTACAAAGGTCAACTGGTTCATAACACAAAGACAAATTGAGCAACATATGAAGTTAGAAGTAGAAAATACAACAGACATTTAACATCCAAATTCATACCATACACACCTACAATCCTATCAAATCAAATCTGAGTTTTACATTTTAGCACAAATTTTGCTTCAGAAATCTAAATATGGCTCCTTTTATTTGAGGCAGATTCAGGCCATAAACTAGAGGGTTATTAAATGGGGGAATGATCAAATACTCTAAAGTTAAAACTACTGTGATGACTGGATTCAGTTTATCACCCTCAAATCGAGTCAATGAAAGCTCACAGAACAGAGAGAAAGAATAGGTCATAAATGTCACAATGTGAGGCAGGCAGGTTTGTAACGCCTTTCCTCTGAATTCAGACGAGCTTCTCTTGCAAACCAGCAGAATGCGAAGGTAGGTGTACAGGACAAAGAACAGGGGGATGAAGATGGTTGTTACTGTAACAAACTGACCTACTATGTTGTTCAGACTTGTGTCCACACAGGAGAGCTGCACTACAGGCCAGTTAGAACAGAAAAGCCTGTGCAGTTTATTTCCACACAAAGGCAATCGGACAGTAAGATGGAGACAGATACCAATAGCAAATACAGGGTAGACCACAGCAAATATGATAAGATTCCTCACCATCCTGAAGTTCATTTTACTGTGATAGTGTAAAGGCTGGCAAATAGCAACCAATCTATCATAGGCCATGATGCCGAGAAGTGTCAGCTCAAATGATACATATGTGTAAATAACATATATCTGGATGAAACAAGATGCACGTGAGATGAAATGAGTGTCAGACAGAATGTCCATCAGAAACCTGGGGAAGAAGCCGGCTGAGCCGTACAGAGAGTTTAAAGACAGAAAAGAGATAAAGATGTACATGGGCTGATGCAGAGACTTCTCCAGGCAGACTGTCAGAATAATGACAACGTTAGCAGAGATTATAGTCATGTAGACCAACAGACACAGACTGAAGAACAGATATCTGAGGGACCCATAATCTGCAAACAGAGTCAACTGGAAATAGACAGGATTTAGGCTGTTGTTGCTCTTCATGTCTGCACAACAGAAACAAAAAGAGAGACGGACACACAGAACAAGAAACAATATACAGTATAATTAAATGATAGGCAAGTAAAAATGAAATGAGAATCAAGGTATCCTTTCGTTTCCTATGCACATAAAAATGTGTTCAAAAATATATCCAAAGCTAGATGTACCACATTCAGAACCAAGGTTCAACCTAGTTAATCATAGTAATGAAAATGCATGCATGTTAATCAGCTTGTTCATGTCTGCACAACAGAAACAAAAAGAGAGATGGACGCACAGAACAAACAGGAGAGAGTGATGGACAAGAAACATACTTACTGAGTTAAATAAAACTTGTCCATGACAACATACAGTATAATCACATTTTAGGTAAGTAAAATATAAGTGAGAATCAAAGTATCCTTTCCTTTCCTACTGTACTGTCACATAATATTGTGTGCACAAATACACCCAAAGGTAAATGAGCCAGACCTTATTATACTACTTAGCTCATTTGTCACAGCTTGGATATGAATAACAGATGTCATTGGAAAAGCAGAGCACACATTTCAATGCACATGTTCAGATTAGTTATTTTAGATTAGTATTACTGCATGATCTGTGTGCATTCAGATGAAGCACACTGTTTAGATATATATCGAATACATCAAAATATCAGGTTTCAAGATTCAATCAATAATCATGTTTGCACAAAACATTACGTTTTAACAAGCATGTTAAAATGAGATCGGTGGATTAAGCCTCCACTCTGTAATGATCCAGACTGAAGCAGCTGTGGAAACTTTTATCTTCATCTGCTGCTAGGAGTGTGTACAAGCAGGGTCCACAGGGAAATAAAGCCACTCACAATTGGCTTCATTTTGTAATGTATCAATAATTTCTTCAGTCAGCCAACCAGAAGTAAAGCTGCATCTCTTACACTTGTCTTCTAATGAAATGATGATGCCAAAAAGAATCCCACATATCTTTATACATTTTTCCCTTGTTGCCTTATTTGCTAAAGTGTTACTATGTTTAATGTTGCATATAAACTTTTTTATTCACTTCAGACTTTACACATTAAAATGAATTTATAGCAAACAAGACAGCCCCAGAATGTTTTTTTTTTTATGTTTCCTGAGCATCACACGTGCAGATGTCGATGTAGAAATAGCTGAGGTAGCTTGTGTGGGTGCTTAACTTACGGGATTTTAAAGTAAAAAAAAAGAGGAATGTAGCCATGTGCACTGGGAAAGTCAGACAACCATCAAACCAGACATATGTCAGACCATATCTATTTATTAATTGATCAACAGCTGTTTAAATGTAATTTAGTGGGCTGAAGGTGCTTGTGTGCTCAGTGCAGTGAGGAAAGCCAACAAAGACTCAAGCTCTCTGCCAGCCAGTTCGTACTTCCTCCTTCCCACTTGGACCTGGAGCTGATCTTGCTTTCACAACTCTCTCAAAAAATGTTGTCCAGTAAGTTAAGTCGATGTTCTGGTCTAAAAAGGTTTTGCTGATGCTGATCCCATCTTCTTTAACCATACTTAATCCATATTCTAATAGGACATTAGCCTTAGTTAAGAGTGTGTCCCATGGATGCCAGAGGGAATACTGTATTTTGTATCTGCCTCCCTGTACTGCTCTTAGTGTCTTCAGTTCATGTTTAAGCTCCATCTGCCTTCTGTTAGACTGTTTTTTAACGTTGTTTGATTGCATGCTTCATAGTCCTGCTAAGGAAGAGAATGGAAGCATTTTAGACTGCTTCAGTAAACCCACCAGTAACATTGTCCAAAGATGCCAACAACTGGCGAGAACAACACCCCATGGATGATGACTGAATCTGAGTGCCAACAAACTTTCCATTGTTAGGTGAGAAATCATTAAAAATCAGACCTAGAACTGGAGAACTTCTGACAAAAGATCAGAGAGAACATCCCCAACATGAACATTTAGGAGCTTAACATCAACAAGCCAGATGAGACACCAGCAGCTGTTGAAAGGAAAGAAGAACAAGCAGAGATCAGCATCACTGACCCTCCAGAAGTATAACACCAAACCACAAAGCAACAGTGATGACAGCAAGCATCTGGCAAAGATGGGAAACCCTGAAGTTAATGTCTAGCTGTTCAAAACATCAAGGTCAAGATAGCAAAACCAATTTAACAGAAATCAACCAATTCAAATTCAGATACAGTAGGATAAAAACCAAGACAACAACAAAACAAACCAAGAAGGCGAATGAAATAAGGAAACAACTATCTCTTCCTGAGTGAAGATGAAGGATGATACACCAATAGTTAAAGAGACCCTGAAGTAGTAGATTCAAGCAAAGGCACAAAGAAGATTGAACATAAGGAGCAATAAGTTCTTCAAAGAAGACACAAAATTATCCCATGAAAGAAAGAAGGGAAAGAAGAAGATAGACCTCAATGAACCATTCACTATCAAAGAAGTTGGGGAGCTGGGAGAACACAAAAAGACGAGGGAGGATCCAGCTAGAGAACCAAGAATGATCAGACATCAACATCACCGACACCCACAATGCAGAATCTTTGGAAAGTACAAAGAAACCATCAACCACATTGCCTCATGCTGCCCGGAACTGGCAAAGACCAAATACATCCGCAGACGCAAGAAGGTAGTCGTGTAGTGGAGATCGAAATCAACAGGATGTGGGGTATGAGACCAAATATTAAAATAACACCAGTGGTCATCAGAACTCTAGGACCCATGAAGAAGGAAATGAAAAGGTTTACCAACCAGATCCCAGGCAACGTTAACATACCGTATTGATCCGAATATAAGACGATATTTTTTCCCTTGAAAAATGCCTGAAAATGACGCCTCGTCTTATATTCGGGGTCTAAGGAGTAACCCATGTAAAACAATAGGTAGCGCCATATGAGCGTTTTTCTGTCCATCAGCGTTTAGTGCAGTGTGACCCTAACGTGATCCTGTAAACAAGCATGTACAGTGAACAAGACGGCTGGAGTGGGTGTGTTAGCCTTCATTTGCATAAGCTAGCGACAACGAAAGTGCGAGTGAGGAGGAGGAACCCAGTGATGCGGAGGATGCAGCTTAATGAAAGAAAGAAAGAAAAAAAAACTGTTTGTGGTGTTTTTGGATGTTATTGTTCTCACACTGTCAAGAAAATGTGTGCCGTTTATTGCACAAGTTAAGCCAGTAGGCTTATGCTCGTTTAATTGCACTGTTATATGGCATAGAACCGTGAAGTGAGTTCTGCGCTTTGCCTATTTGCAGAGCTATAGAAGTTTTTATGATTTTTTTCCCCCGCATGATAAACACCAAAGATGTTGAAATGTAAAAGGAAAACAATGAATTTTCTTTATGCAAACGAAATTTTGTCCAAATAAAAAGTATTTTTCCAAATATGGGTCTTGAAAAAGAGGGGTCGTCTTATATTCAGGGTCGTCTTATATTCGGGTCAATACGGTATATGAAGTCCAGAATATTGCCCTCAGAACAGCCCACATACAACATGGTGTACTCTCAATCAAGTGAAATCTTCCTTATAGTACCTCAGGTACATTGTTTGGACCTGGAACTACAGAATGTAAAACACAGAATTCTAATAGCTGGACTGCTTGAGGGAACACTTTGAATAACTCCTTAACAGAACCCTATAATTAACACCCAAGATTAATCAACCAGAACCCTAAAGGTCAACTGTGGGAGGATGTCAAAGGACAAAATCACAAGAGGCATCAAAATGTTGAAGGTTGGCAAATTCCCCCTGACATTCTGAAAGCTGAAACAAAAGTGGGGACAAGATCTGGGATACAGAAGCAATCCCAACAGAATGGAAGACAGGCTTAATGGTCAGGATTCCTAAAAGAGGAAACCTCAGTGAGAGCAACAACAGCAAAGCTTTCTGTAGAATCAATTGAGACAGGATAGAAACAGCCCTGGACAAACAGTTAAGGAATGAGCAAATTGGATTCAGGAGGGATAAATCATTCATCAACCATACACAGTAAGAAATCAAGGAACAGGAATGGACCTAAAGGGATACAAATGCTTTGTCCCTCCAGCTGTACCCGAGCACAGGTATATTACCTTTGAACATGTAACATTTTTGTACCTTCTTTTCTGTACGTCTAAAAGAATGTTTCTGTACCCCAGTGACAAAAATAAACTTTGTCCTGGTAAAAAAATGTACCCATTGGAAAGGTACAGAATTGGTCCCTAATGTGGTTCACCTAGAGTCACATGCAATTTTGGAACTTTATGTAGCAAAAAAATACCCTCAAATTGTTTTTACTATTATTTATTCAAGGAAGGTTCACTGAGAGGAAGCTTCTCTTTTGCAGAAACACCCTGATTACATTTGCACTGTCACACATTCATACCCATGTACATGCACAGTAGAACCACAGTGGTTGGGGTTAAGGGCCTTTAGGCCACCACTTCCCATTTACAATTATTCACATAATGACAATTAGTTTACAGTTTTTTTTAACACTTTTCACTACCTTTTCATTGCATTGTTCAGCTAGAACTTATTTATCCATAACCAGTGAATGCTTTAACGACCTAAATCAAGTTTTAAGCTCGGTAAGCCTCAGCAGTGCTGACTACAAGTGCAGCTGTCACGGGGACGAGGATTTTGTGATCACTGATTTGCTGTAACATTTCCCTGTACCTTAAGCTTGTTCAAAGTACAATTATGTACACCTTTTGGCCAGCCATGATTTTGTATCTTTAAAATTAAAAAAAGGTCCACAGTTACCACCTAAAGGACCTTTCTCATACCTTAGAGGTATTGTATCAAAGGTACCTTTGGGTACAGAAATGACACTCCTATTTCTGTCACCGTTGTCACCACCCCCAAGTGCTGTGACACTTGGGGGTGTGTTCCTTTTTTTTCCTGTGGTGTTTTGTGTGTGGGGGTGTGTGTGTTACGCTTGGCAGTGAGCTGATTACCTGGCGGAGTTACACACCTGCTGGCAATCCTCATCAGTGCCTGGCCTCAAGATGTGGGGCTTCCTGAGACTCGTCGCCAGATTATTCCTTACCTTTCTTATGATTCCTGCACCCGTTGTGTTTTTGTGCTGCCCGGAGGATCTTTTTGGAGCGCTGGTTGCCACTGTCCAGGACTGCCTGCCCCTTCTCTCACCTCGCCCTTTTTGACACAGTTCTACTTGTTACTCAGTTCTTTGTGAATAAACTCTCGACCTTAACCCGCCTCAAGTGTTCTGTACCCGCACCCCGGTCCATGGTCCTACTAAACATAACAGAATAATCTGGCCACATTATGGACCCTGTGGATACAGATGCTCTCAGACAAGCCTTGGCTCTACAAGGACAAAGAGTTGGACAGCTGGAACAAGTTTTTCCCGTAATGGACACTTTGTGCAACTTAACACTCACAGTCGGTCAACTAGACTCTAGGCTACAAACTGTCACGGCCGCCCTGCCTACACCGTCCGCAGCTGCCTCCTCAATTCAGCCACACCCGCGCCACCCACCACCCCCGCCCCTCCTGGACGTGAACCGTTTTTCCCCACAGTGGAACGATATTCAGGTACGCTAGGAGCATGTGGGCAGTTCATTGTGCGATGTTCTCTGGTTTTCCAACAACAACCTCACACCTATGTCTCTGATCAAGCTAAGCTAGCCTACATGATAGGTTTGATGTTGGGCCGAGCCGCGCAGTGGGCAACAGCCTTATGGGCTAGTGAGTCTCCAGTTTGTAACTGTTTAAAGGATTTGTTAGTTGAGTTACACAAGGTTTTTGACCATCCCATTAAAGGGAGAGAG